AAGGTATTTACGTTATGATTAATACTATTACACAATTTATCCCCCTTTCTTTGTTCTTTGTTCTGGAGTCCTTTCTGTATCAGCCGTTGACTGAAGCCTTGCCTTGCCTTGATTTGCGTCTTTTTAATTTTTGACACTTGTATAATAAGATAACGTGCAATTAAGATAACGCTCATATTACGACATTGTCAAATCATACAGCCATTATATTTCTTACAAAGCGCTCAAGAAATCAATCAAGAGCGCCGCCGAAAAATCAAAGCAGACAAATAGAGCAATAGAAGATGACCTCGTGACAGGTTTGTCTTAGCTTATTTTTCTTCTATTTCGTAATTTCGTTTGTGACGTAGCACAGTACGAATAGTCATGCATGTGTCAGTGAACATTTCCTAATTCCTTTCTTACATCCATCCACCAATGTTTAGACTTCATATTCGATCTGGATCGCGAGCTCGAAAAGGTCGAGTCGTTCTTTGCCCGGAAACTGGACGATCTAAAGAGACAGCATAAAAAGTATCGCTATGTCAGATCGCACGATCACGGCGAAGCCTTGGTGGCTTTAACAGAGACTATGAATTTAATTCACAATCTTCTGGTTTTCGCCGATATTAACAAGAAAGGCTTTGCGAAAATTCTCAAGAAGTAAGCCTAAATTGAATCTTCTGATATCATTTTTAGTAACCGTAGATGAAGTTCTTTAGAAAGATCTTTTTCAAAACAAACAAAGTTCTTACAATTTTGACACAAAAAAAAGGATACTTTCTCAACGGTTACGGAAATACAGGACGTCCATCAATTACAGATGGATTTACTCACATTAATTACATCTATACCTACTTAAAGGTTCGACAAGAAGCTCTGTAAGTCAATACAGAGCACATATCTTCGGACCAAGGTATGGCATGCTGTAAATGTTCATTGATTCGACGTAAGGAAGTCTGTCGTTAGTCAACGCTATTTATTTTGCATCAGGTCGATGTTTGCTCCTTTGCGAGCGACAACGCTTTGGCAGAAATACTCGAATCGATTGAGAAATCTCAGGATTTGCTTCGGCAGATGGCACAACAAGAGAATTCCGAATATTCTCCTAGTCGAGATGTCCGATTATCAGCAGATCAGAACGATATCTTTCTAGATGTTTTCGAACATGACGACGTCGATACGCTGAAACAGATAGAAAATATGCCTGTTGTCGTGGGCGAACAGAAAATGACAACGGATAAGGTATGTTATGCTGTTATAATCCGTTCATCTCTGCTCGCTCCAACGGTATGTTCATATGCTTCTATATTACAGACACTGTTTTCTATGCTTTCCAAAGCATGTCAACAGCGTGCGTTGAAGTGTATAAGATTCTTAGTTGAATTCGGCGCACCACTAATGGACGCCGATGATATTAACGAACGGTCAATTATCCATAAACTGGTTATACATGGTGGCATTCTCCATACTGGCCGCGCGTCACCCACGATAAAGAACGCGATTACACCTGACCAGTTATTATCTTTGTCTCGCTCACCAGTGGACAATAATTTCAGAAATGTGGCAAATGGTGATAGCGGGTCCTTTACGTCGGATGCTGATCAGGATGATCCCGAGATAATTTCTATTATTCTAGAAGGTTTGAAAGGCAATCAGGTTTTGCAATCTAATACCAAAGATACTTCTGGGAGACGTCCATTGCATTACGCAATGGCTAATGGATACGTGAAGATCATACAAGTATTATTGGAGCATCTGACCAAAACTGAACAATTTTCCTTACACCACGATCATAATGATGATACGTGGTTTGATAATGATGGTTATACACCATTTTTCTACGGCATACTCCATGGAAGAACAGAGGCAGTAAAATGCATGATCGACATGGGAGAGATAACAGACATCAGTACCATCACAACTCGCTCGCCCAACCATGCAGTCTATACGCCTCTTAATCCTTTTGCTAAAAATGAACCGCACTCTCCACTGGCTATGGCTTGTAAACTGGGCTATCCCGCGATGACTGAACTGCTACTTGACTATGGTGCTGATCCCGACGCTGAAGACGAGTATGGAGAAACTCCATTACATTTCGCGGCAAGGAATGGATATGCTGAGTGTGTCAAACTGCTCGTCGGATTCGAAAACGGGAAGGGAGAAGTTATAAGAAAGAAGGCTAATATGGAGATCAAAGAAAAGCTGTGTGGACGGACAGCTTTGCTCTTAGCTGGTAAGTATACTATGTGTAATGCGACGTGTTGAAGTTTTTTCGGGTTCACTAAAACGAAGAGTTTAATTATAATGTAAATTCGGTATTAATAATTTTTTGTTTTCTTGCTCTTGAATTGTCTACACATAGCAATAGAAGGACATCTCGAAATAGTCGATACCCTAATAAAGGCTGGCGCTGATAAAGACTCTACGGACTTCTCCGAATGGACTGCACATGTACACGCCACTTTCCGCGGTCACGTAGAAGTTCAACAACTTCTTCGGCCTTCTACACCTTACGATATAAAGCATTCCCCAGTGCCATCGGTAAACGAGGGTATGGAAACAAATAAAGGAGGCGTAGCTGAACGTATCTATGGCCATAGATTTTTACAAGGCCAATCAATGGTATCCGTCACCATTGGAACATTTGATACAAGAAAGCACATCACACCAGTGCAGATCAATAACATGGCGGTTCCCCCAAACTCTATAATACCGTCAATGTCCACGTCTCTCATAGTCTCTGCAAAAAATGCTGTCGGAGAGCCAAGGGTCATAGATCTTCCAGTTAAGGACCATTCAGAGTCGATTGTATTTTACTCGGACAATATCGACGATGTAACATTGAATTTTGATTTGGTACCTACATACGGTACCAAGAAGCAGTTGATTGGGCGTGCGACTGCTCTGCTGTCTTCAATAAAGACATCCGACACTGAGAAGGCGCCTCTTATGGGATCAGTAACTGTCCCTATACTCGGAGCCGGATCCTTGGAAGTGATCGGAAAAATCATATTCTGTTTTTTGGTAGTAAACCCCTATAGTCATCCCAGTTTGAGCGTGGACAGTAAACATACATATTGGAAATCGTTGACAACCAAGGTCATTGGTCACCGTGGAATGGGCATGAACCAACTGTCACACAAACTTCAGTTGGGAGAAAACACTGTGATGAGCTTCGTCACTGCGGCGTCCTTGGGAGCAGAGTACGTCGAATTCGGTAAGGATGCACCTCACTTTGCTTTAAATTGTTTACTTACATCCCGATGTAGACTTGAATATTTATTGTTTGTTTGATTCTTAGACGTACAACTTACAAAGGACCACGTTCCAGTCCTTTACCATGATTGGACAATAACCGAAACAGGTTATGATATCCCGATTCACGCAATCACGCTGGGGCAGTTTCTAAGCCTCAAGAACGATTATGCTTCGCAGACTGCGAATGGTAATGGAACGGATAACGGTGCAACTACAATACTCCCATCTGCAGACAAAGCTACAAATGGGATATCCGGTACCAAAAATAATAAAGATACCGCTCATGTGACTAAAAAGCTTCGACGGTCTAACAGTCTCGGAGTAATGACAGCCAAAAACGTTCTAAAATCGGCGCATGACGTGAAAATAAAAGGCAACGGGGCCAATAGCATTCAAGCACCATTCACAACTTTAGACGAAACGTTCAAGGTATTGAATATCTCTCCATTCTTTTGATAAGGTTGTTTGTTTACAAAACCAAATATTAATATGACTGTTCGGTGCTATGAATCACAATGCAGAAAGTACCACTTCATATTGGTTTCAATATAGAAGTAAAATACCCGATGATTGATGAGGCCGAATTGGAAGGTCTCCCAACATACAATATAGAACTCAACGTTTTCGTGGACGCCATTCTCGATGTAGTCTACGATCATACTGCCCAAAACCGGAACATAATATTTTCGTCCTTCCACCCCGACATATGCCAACTTCTAGCTGTCAAACAGCCAAATTATCCGGTATTTTTTCTATCTGACGTCGGAACAGTGAGTATAGCAGATGCACGTTCCAAATCCATTCAACGTGCCATTAGATTCGCGAAATCAGCAGATTTATTGGGTATCGTAATCCGCTCCGATCCCGCGTTGGAAGCTCCTCAGTTAATAAAAACTATTAAGGAGACGGGACTTTTGGTGTTTACCTATGGAGCTAGGAACAATGACGTTGAATGTGCTAAATTTCAAAAGAAACTTGGAGTTGATGCAGTAATTGTGGTGAGTAAGATGAACAAGCTACAGTTATTGTATCTTTTGACAGTATGTATAAATATAGTAACCGACCATACTCTTTCTAGGATTCTGTCGTAGCTGTTAGAAACGGCTTACAGCATAACGATTGAAATAATAGTTGTACATTTCGTAATAGATTTAGACGTAGTATATTTGATTTTGTAATGACTTTTTTTTTGGTTATTATTATCGAGGCGTTAATTTATGAACACGTAAGATTGATAACTTTAGGTAATATATAATTGGCATGGATCCGAATAAAAACATCTATTCCGGAACCATAAAATAATCCGAGATAATCATGTTGAACAGAGCCACACGGTTTATTGGCATTTTTATTTGCACCATACGCGTAAATAATGTTCCGTTCGGACGAGTCGAAGCTTTATATTTCCCTCAAATTCGCTTTTTGCTAATTACAATGGGTAGTTTTATTAATTGCCTTTTTCAAGTCTTGAAACCCCCATATTCCTTCACGTTTTGCGGTTGAATCTAGGAAATTGTTTTTCGTATGCTAATTTTAATGTCTTTTACTCCCCAAATTGGGAACTTTGCACATTGGTGCCTTTGTGTCTAATAAAGAACCCTTTAAGGTTGGCGCACACTGATGACTATTTGATCGAATTTGAATGAGCGCGTCCATTGATTAAATAGAAATTGCAAAAGGAATTGATCTGCACTAACAAGAAATTACTATTACTAAGACTTGTCTAAATGAAATAGAAACATATTGTTGGGTTAATAGAGGGGACTCTTCCGGGAAGAACAGCAGTAAAACCGAGGTTGCTGAGTTCATGACGTTCACTAACACCAAGTTTTGGGTCCTTCTCTTTGAGCAAAGCACCCATTTCGGGCGCTGTAGTAAAATGGTTGCTTTATATTTATACAATAATGCATGCCTTATATGATTACCATTCTGTGAAGAAACATCCATGGAACCAAGCACAAACTCTGGTTCTTGGATGGCTTGGTTTTCTTGCGCGATGAAAATCGATTTCGCGAATCAGGCCAATAGATGTGAAACCAAAGTGATATTTAAATATGAAAAGTTACGTCGTGAAAGGTTAAATGTGGTGTTGCTTTTATTTGTCCTATTTGTAAACAAACGCGAGCTGATCAGTGGTACAAATTTTACTAAAAGAATCACAATATATTAATATTAGATCACAACATGCAGCATGTCTTCCCGTCTGTCAACAAAAAAAAGAAATGAAAAAAATGACGATTGTAGAAACGCGAGAACCCGTGAATATATTTAAAAATGAAGATATGGACGCCGCTGAGGAATGAAAACGGCGCGCGAAGGAGGTAGAAGAACTACCACACGGAAGGTGACCAGATCAATTCCCCTTTTCAAAGAAGAGTTTTGTTGTCCTCGAACGCTTAGTGTTAGATTGGTAATAAGTGACAATCCACAATCTATGTCGCCTGCAAACGAAAATCAGATCATATGGATAGAAGGTGGCGAATGAAGTTGAATAAGTCTTAATAAGAAAATAACGCGTTGAGAAATAATAATTAACTATCCTAATGCCACTCGATCGATCACGAGACAAGTATTATGACCGATCTTGCCGTTATACGGATTAATGCTTTAAAATATAACGGAATATTCAGGGAAAGAATTTATCGTTTCAGAGTAAATGGATACTCGTTTATTAATAAGAAAATAAAGGAATCGAACGTCTTCGATATAAGGAATTTGATCTTGAACACTGCGAACACTAAATTGAACACTGAACACTCAGAACACACCGATGCTAAACGACTTCTAAGCTGCTTATATACTTTATCATCTACTAATTGATCTATTTTTAGCATCGTTCTAATTTCTAATACGATCACTATTGTTTGGTGGCGTGATTGGCAGTGGGTAAATATCCCTTTTTGACGTAATTGATAAATCAGGTTAAACCACGAGCCGCGGGTGTTTTTGGACGGCCTCCCCAGTGTTGGCCAAATCAATTGGGATGAAATCTTCCACAAACATTGACTGTGACATTCTATGGATGGCTACATGGGAGAGACTCCCTTTGGGTAGCACCCATAGCTCCAGACAATACTGGCTTCTCATGGTGCCCCAATGAAGAACACAGCACAATAACACCTTCTCCACCAATGCCACATAGCAATAGCACAATCACTGTGGAACACCACCCACATGATCTTTATATCCTACAGCCTGACTTCTCTGAACAACAGCTTCGTCTCCTCCGTTGCATACAATCAGCAACACTATCCTCTCTCTGGAACGCCTTTACCACAAGGGCATTCGGACATTATAATAACCCCACTCTCTCATTCAGACATCATACAAACGTTTCTTAACCGCATGTTAACAATACACACAGATCCAGGTACCCCTTGGATCTCCATACATCCCCCCTCATAACCATCCGCCGTTTATTCTCTTAATTTAATTTGTAAAAGATAAAAACAGCTTAAACTGGGCTTTAGCGAGCACCTCGTTGTGAATAAAAGTTCCTCGCGATAGTCATTAAAGAATAACTTTTTTGTTGTACATATCGTATCAGTTACTGAACATTATACGACCGGCGGTAGTTATATTATTGATTGCAGTTACAGTCAGCGTGGTCTATTTTGTGTTTCGGCTGACATTCTGCACGTAAAGTTTACCATATTAATATTGAAAACTATGCATCGTAATACTAGGCCTGTTCAATTCTGTTCCGTTCTGTTCCGTTCTGTTCCGTTCCAATTTGTGCCGATCCCTGATTGGCGGATTAAAAATCACATGATGGGAACAGATGGGAACAACAAATTTGCAGTTCCTATCTGTTCCCATCCTCATACCACACACGTTTCATTAATAAGCGTAAAAAATAAAAGGTTATGTTGCGCAAAAGGGTTCTAATGGCTTCCCTCAATTCTCACGGATTTTGATTGGTTGACACAATTTTGCCGTCGATCGGAACGGAACGGAATAGAATTGAACAGGACAGGCCTACTATACACCACATAATTATGGCAATGGATAAATACCGCCGAGATTCTAGTGCATAAGCAAGAATAGTTCCGTAGCAAATGATATCTTCGGTCCCACTTTTACTTTCGAACAATCTTATCTCTTATAATTGTCTTTTATTATTAGAATAGTTCTTCGAATTCACTGTTTACAATTGTAAATTTATTTCATTCTCAGAAGGCGCAATCCTGGTAACTGAGTACAACGCCGGTCTTTATCAGAAAGTTATCGTCAATTTCATTATATTTCCGATATCTGGATTGTTGCTAAATGCGTTTAGTGCGGCGAAAGTAAGCTTTTGAATTAATACCGTCAAAAGTAAGTGTTCTTGAAGTAGAATAACAATCTCTGACGAACACAAGACCGACTTACCGTCGTGAGTATTTGAAACCTAATTTAAGGTCACCCATCTTTTGTTTAGAATTCGCATAGTAACGTCTCGATTTAGGTCTCTCCCCCACGTATTTGCCAAGATCGGTGTGCAATGTCGAACCAAACAGAAACATTAGAATCTCAACAAATATCAGTAGAAGAAGAGGATGAACGAGAGCACATTAATATGATGTCATCAAAACCAGAGAGCGTTAATATTGATATACCTGATGCAACTGATGCACTTGAATTGAGAAATAGTGCGGCGGACTATTTGATGCTTGATCAATATGAGAATGCTTTAAAACATCTTTGTAAATCTTTGAAATATGAACCAATCAATACATTAACATCAAGACTATTAGTATATGCACTTAAGCATGTTGTTATTGATTATGATGTCAGAATATTAAATTTGACGGATTACCAACTTGGAGATACAGGAGTAATAGCTTTGGCATCATTTTTAAGATCAACTACCTTTCTTACTTCTTTGGATCTTGGTGGTAATAAGATTGGGGATACAGGAGCAACAGCTTTGGCAATAGTTTTAAAATCAAATACTTCCCTGACCTCTTTGAATCTTTGTAATAATGAGATTGGGGATACAGGAGCAACAGCTTTGGCAATAATTTTAAAATCAAATACTTCCCTGACCTCTTTGAATCTTTGTAACAATGAGATTGGGGATACAGGAGCAACAGCTTTTGCAAAAGCTTTAAAATCAAATACTTCCCTGATCTCTTTGAATTTTCAATATAATAAGATTGGAAATACAGGAGCAATAGCTTTGGCAATAGTTTTAAAACCAAATATTTCCCTGACCTCTTTGAATCTTCACAATAATGAGATTAAGGATATAGATACAGCTTTGGCAATAGTTTTATACTCAAATACTTCCTCGATTTTTGACTGTGGGATATATTCGGAAAATGCTTCAAAATTAGGTCTTAAGTATAAGATTAAGATATATAATTACATTCTTATTGTAACAGCCAAGGTTCTTATGAGTTTAAATTTAGGTTGATTTATTGTTTTACATATATTTGAATACTGTAGCAGGTAGCAGTTAATTTGGTTTATTTAACATAATGATAATAAAAAGCATACATAATTAACGTATGCTCATCTTCATGTTAGACATGATAACTGAAATTCAACATTAACTACTCTGCAGATGGAATATGTTACAGTGAAACCTGTTTGGGACAAAAATATGCGCACTTTTACATTTAAGATATTGATAACGTATTGTTAAACCCACAATAAATTAATATTAAAGTAAGCATTATTCCATTTGCAGCTTAAGAATCCGGTTGAACAGATATAATATCAAATTACAATATATTTTTGCAGAAGCGCATCCCACGCTTTTTTCTACGTTTTTCAGTGTCACCGCACTATGAGAGGATATACACTCGTACCCCGTTTATATCCCTACTCATTATGTTATATCCCAACCCGCTTATATCCCCATTGTGAGGTGAAACAAAAGGGAGATATAAACAGTGTGTGACTGTATCATCCGAGCATAATGGTTTTCTTCCAGTATGCAACAGTCCAATTACTTCTTTCCACTGCACTGCCCAATCAGGTCGAACTTTTTTAATTTTTTCCAAAATATGGAGCTTTTTTAAAGAAACGCCAATCATCCAAAGAAGGTGTGCTGTGGCTAATACTAATGAAAGTAACCAAATTACCGACAGAGCCGTTTATCGTATATCCGGTCGAATGATTATATTAATGACGAGAGAAAGAAAGAAGTGTGATTCGATTTCAAAAGGCATCGTTATTTAATAGATTACAAGAAACATGAGTTTTGATGTAGGATTTAATTCGCTTACGCTTTATATACCTTTACGACGCTGAAAAACGAAACGTCTGGGAAAAATCGAACGAAGTACAGTCCTCACCTTATGACTTTTGTACACTTAAAGGAAAGACGTTTCGCATTACCTTGCCATGTAACGGACATTTTATATGGCGTGAAAAGTGAGGACAACGTTTGGCGTGCGTTAGATGTGTAAGGCCAAACATCATTGTTCCGTAGTGCATATATTCATAATATGATTGTTGTGAACCTACATATTGAGAATTTTCGAAGCGCATCAAATGTATAGATGTGGTCAATTCTCATCCCATCGCGTCGTCTAAATTTATGGTTTCTGATCTAGTATTTGTATATCAGACCAAGAATATTTGATTTTGCGCTTTTAAACATAATATGTGAGCCAGTACGTATAGAGCTAAGATTTTATAAGACAAAGGCATAAATAAAAACAAACTTCCCATGTTAATGCGTCATAATTATTCGTACCTCACAGCGTGAAACAAAGATGACCCAAATATTATTTACCCCTGTTCTTTGTGAGTCTAAACATAACTTGAGAATGTGACAGCAGTCATTTGTATGTGTCTGGAAGAGAGAACCGCCACCGCTCATTGTTCGGGAAACTTCTGTGAAAATCATTCAACATATTCACATGATAAATAAGGCATATGAAAGAGCGATCTTATTATTAATTATATTGTTATTATTATGTGATTGTGTGATTAATCGAAATTTTAAGTTTGAGAAAATTTGAAACTTAACCGTTTCGGGAAAAGAGTTTTTTAATTTTAAAAGGTTAAGCAATCCGATCACAGCAGATTTATATAATGGCCGTGCAGTTCGGCAAAAGGAAACTTCTCATTTCAGAGAGAGAATAGCGTATACGGTGTAATATATCATTATTGTTATTGATTATAAAGGACGTTTATAACAGAATAATATATACAAATAACAACAACGAATATGGGCGCTCATTATAGTTGCTGCAGAGAGCAAGTCAGGCCTGGTGTCGAGGAAGGCGAGTCAAACACTAAAATCTTTTCTCTGTTTTGTTTTATTGAGAGAGACTGCTAAACTTTTATGAATTTCAGACGATGTGATAACAAAGGAACCAGTACGACCCAGCGCAAGCCCAATACCCTTCGAAGAAATCGAAACGGATAACCGTGAAGAAATCTCAAACATATCAAAGATTCGATCCCCCGATAGGCCACTTCCAGAACCTCCGTTACAACCTGATACAACGTTCTATACTAAACCGATAACTAAACCAATAAAGAAAGATTTTGAATTCCGCGACATTATCGAGGCCTTTGACAACGAGCTAGCCAACATTCGCAATTCTTCTTTTCGCAAATCCAGAGCAAAGACAGACAGCAGACCAGACTCACAATATACTACCAGCACGAGACCGAGAAGCAGGAAATCTGATTTTTTCTTTAGTTCTAGACGCTCTCTTAACAGGTTTGCGCCAATGAGGGAGGAATTTGCCGCGAGTTATGCCGAATTTAATCGACGGAATTCCATCATTACCGTACTAAATTACTTGGTCAGAGAAGAATTGAAGCGGTTAGAGGCAGACGGAAATGACAAGAGCCAATTGCAACCGTTTGAGTATATGAAGTTGAAGCGTCGACTTCAAGATAATGGATACAAGATGAAGTTTGCCGCCAACGAAGATGACTGGGAATATGACTTGATGTGGGTTAGACAGATTTTCGAAGATTGGCAAGGATTTACCAAGTATCCTTCGCCTTTGTCTGAAAAGATACGAGCCAAGCAAAAGGAAAACAGCTTGAGCGAACTCGCCGAATTGTTATCCGAATCATTTTTCTTCTCCAAGCCGTTCAATGAACGAAGAGATGAGATTAGAGCACATTTTGAAGAGTTGCGACAGTTGTTGGAATTAGAAATTCGTACCATTGCAGCAAAGAGGTATTATGGGCCAAGAAGCGAAATTACCGCAATTGTTGATCGTTTTTGTCTGAGAAACGGGCATTGCAAGCGGTGTGGTCAAGAGATGTTTTATGAAAATCGTTGTCAACTATGCGAATGGAGAAACTTAAAGTTACTCTACGGGTACATTACGGTTCGCAGCAGAAAATCAGATGATTTCACGAGAAACGCTCCGGGATCCGTAGGGATGAAAACTCCATATGTTGGATGGATCAATTTTGAACGATTGAAGGATTTTGAGATTATCGGGACGGGCGGGTTTGCGACTGTTCTTTCTGCTACTTGGTTGGATGGGTCCACCATGGTATGGGATAAAGATGAGAACATGTATCAAAGCACGGATGCGTGCAGAGTGGTATTGAGGCAATTACATAGCACAACCGAATTAAAATTTGATGCTTTAAACGAGGTAAATTGATATAGTTTTTATTTCCACGTCGTTGTATGCATCTCACCCCTCTGAATATAATTGTTGAGTGTCGTTTTTGTTTTTTCCCCCAAAGATCATTGAGTATCTTAATCGTTATTGCCCTCAACTTGGCGTCAACTATCTTGGAATATCACAAGACATTGTATCAAAAGACTTTGTTATAGTGACAGAATACGCCGACAAAGGTAGCTTGCACAATTTCATTCAAACTAGTTTTGCCGATATCACATGGAAGATGCGTATCCGCATTCTGCGTGATATAGCCAAGGATCTCGTATCTATTCATAGCCAAGGCATTGTCCATCGCGACATTCACAGTGGGAATGTATTGATCTACAACTCTGTGGACGGAATTATTGCCAAACTATCCGACGTTGGTTTTACCGGTCCGATGAATGACGTGTTATCCAATGTTCACGGAGTGTTACCCTACTGTGCTCCAGAAATACTTCGCGGACGTATTTACACCACGGCAGCGGATATTTATTCGTTTGGAATGATAATGTGGGAAGTATCATCCGGAATGCGACCATTTGCAACCAGAGGTCACGATGAAGTATTAGCATTTGATCTTGGAAATCGACATCTAAGACCCGAAGCGGTCGAGGGAGCTCCCAAGTGTTTTGTAAAGTTGATGCAACGATGTTGGCATCATGTTGCCAGCAAACGACCGTCAGCACAACAGCTATACACGATGCTTCAAAAGTGGATGCGCTATGAGAGCGATGGGTCGCAGTATACAATGGTTGTTCCCAAAGGAACTGAAAATTCCTTTTTACCAAACAATAGATCAACTATAACAAATTCAATAAACTGGAACCCTGATTTGGATACTACTATAGAATGGCAACAGTTAGAAGATGCTGATAGGGAGGGTGTTAGACACAAAATAGAAAATCAACAAGAGTCACCATCGGCTGTGTATATTAGTAAGAAGTTAGATTATATCGTACAAAGGCCAAAGTCAATTGTACGCATGCAACAAAGATTCTCTTCATTTTTCACACAATAAAAATGTAAATTATACTGGGGGTTTTCTTTGCTATAGTAACGTCGGTGGTGGAGGATTTCTGGTAGTAGTAATGGTGTGTGGTGGTGACGGTGGCGATGTGATGGTGATGGTGATGGTGGTGGTGGTTGTGATAGTGGTGACCTCGTTGACGCTGTCGTCGTTGGGTAGTTGGTTGCTTTTGTCGTCAGCGCTGCCTTTCATCAATTACAATCCATACAAGAAGGCATGCAACTTGGTCCCACTTTACACGACAATATTGAATTATTTATTTGGTGAATACAATCCAAACTTGTCCATAAGACTTGATTCATGTACAATTATATAGCAGAAATTCGTCTGATAGTGTCCTAAAGCTACAATAAAATCACAATTTCAAATGCGTGCTATAATTACTTCTACTCCCTTCTATTATTAGTGCTTAATTTAGCAGAAACTATCTCGGCTCCACTCCAGCCGATGCGTTCTACCACGGTGCCCAATCATATTCATTTGAATCCATATGTGAGGGTAAAAAGGTCAATATGTCTTCTGGTTCTTCACCCGGATATACAAATGCCTCTTCGTCAGAGTCACGATAATCTTCAATATCATCCTCCACCTCCCAATCATATTCATATGATTCAAAAGCATCGATCAACACATTCCATGCGCTACTTTCGACGTCGCTTTCGAAAAAGCTCAATCCCCCAAAGTCCGGAAAGTCTTCATCGAGTATCATCGGGCCCCCCTCGAACCCCTCGAACCCCTCGAACGGATTATTACGGCGACGCTCTCTCTTAGGAGGCCCCATTATATACCGAGTGCCGTCCGCATTCGCATGCTGGTATAGACATAAATCACCAAATGGACAGGATTTTGTCTCTGCAAAATACTTGCACGGAATCTTGGCAACTGCAGATTTGTATGAATCTATTATACTGACTTTGTCTTGGGCATCTCTGGGTACGCGAGAAGATGGAACGACGTATGGAACCTTCTTTCGGCATAAAGGACATGTCTTTGTCTGGTCTGAACAAATGGACGACTGTCTCCTCGACTTCCGCCAGCTACGAACACAGTCTGTAAATAAAACATATATAAAGAAGATTCGTATTAAATATTTCAATAATGTTATCAACAATCAACCTCATATCACATACTCCAATCGTGTCTTTTTCCGAGATAATGGAAACATATTAATACTTCTTTTTGCAAATCTCTTTTTATGTGATGGAAATTGTTGGTTCTTACCTATACAGAAAATGTGATCGCATGAGACTAACAACCCAAAAGTCGTAGGAACTTCATAGCATATCGAACACGTAGGTGCATCATCTTTATCTGTAATAGCTGCCTTATTACCCAACTTATCGGGAACCTCGTGCAGGAACCAGCACTCACTTCCAAACCGACAATAGCCCTGCTGATAGAACCGACAAGGGATGACAGATGGTTGCGTATTGACTCTTTCCTGTGCATTAGACCACGTACTTTCGCCGACTGCTTCACGGTTCGTTGATTTCTGCGCACACTTGGACCCTGAGCCTTCGGCATTAGTCGTTGGAATCCGATCACTCTGTACGTCTGCCTTACGTCCTGACTGAATGTGTGCAGAGTTGGAGCTGGAACTCGCATTAGAACTAGCACTAGCACTCGAACTGGAACTAGTGCTGGCATTGGTACCTGAGCTGGGATTAGCGCTTGAACTTCTTCTTTCCTTCCTTTCGGATGTTGTATCAAACCATCGGGTGTTCGACGTCTTGCTATTATCGTCTGTGGCGTTTGCGTCTTCGTGTGGTAGAACGTGTCTGAAACGACATCGACTACCACGGGAACAGGAGGCACCTTTTGCAAATGCCCAGCAAACTGACTGTGAAGACGAAGACATGTCTGTTAGATAGTCTATGTAACCCCCAGCTATTTGTAACGCGCTATATAATAGTCTCTTCCCGAACGAGAAAGAGTGGAATTTTTGCCCTGGAAACTATTATATGAAAGGATCACAAGTGCAGACAAATCAGAACGTACCATATGTTACTGCGGCTTTGATGTGATATTATTTATGGGAATTACGCAATCCCCTTGAAAAATCGGCTGTGTGGGACAACACCAACCGTCGGTAAAGGAACAATTCCAAAATGATCTTACTCGAATATCACAATGCAGTAGTGGAAAAGACTTTGGCACCAATTGTGAGGTAATCCCACAAGAAGTTGTTGTGAATTTTATCGGAATGAACGTTTCCTAATTGGCATGATGTGTAATTAACATAGTCTTAAAGAAACCGTATTAGACTCTATAGTTGTAGATTTTGATGGTGTAGTCTATCACATTTCAACCCGAACGGCCAAAGATGTTATATCGTTTTCATTGTCATGGTCGTGTTATAATGAGCTGACTAAGTGGGGAGCTGCAGATATGCTTCGAAAGGAATATGGACAGTATCTCATTGCCACACCAGAACAGGGTTATAATCTAACACTCGAATTCGATTTAAAAAATTTACCATCTACGGAAGGTACGTATGAAACCGCCTTTATAGCAGAGCGCATCGCACATTCCCAATATCCACAACATGTAACAACGTAATTTAACACATTACGTGCATATACTTGTAGAAGAACGAGAGGCACTCGTAAAAAAAGTAGCTCTAATCAAACGAAACCTTCTTGCGCAACCGTTTGAACGTGCCTTTGATCAGCAAGCCCAGTTCGAAGATAAAAACCAACCAGACCCCCAGCCGGACCTTATGCAGATTCACTACAGAGATCAGGAAGCGATTTACATCCAAGCGCAACATGATAGAGTCACCGTCATTTTTTCAACGCTCTTCAAAGAAGAGACTGATAGGATCGTTGGGAAGGTGTTTTTACAGGTAAATATAACAATTGGTTGTAACCATATTATTCTTACGTTGCACACTTGGACCGTATTATTCTAACTTTATTAAATCGAATCAGGAATTTGTTGATGCACGACGCCTTCCAAATATTCAAAATGCGCCACAAGTACTCTATTCCCACAAAGAACCTCCTCTGGAGATCAGACATTTATCCGAATTTCGAAATCTTAACGAAAACGAGAATGTCGGCTATGTCACATTCGGTATGTATGTTAGTTCTGTATACATTCCGGCTTGTCATTCAAATCTGATTCGTTTCTGTGTTGTAGTTTTGTTCCCTCGTCACTTTGTAAGAGGCGATGTAAGAAATGCAACTATATCGCAGATTCAATTGTTCCGCGATTATCTGCATTATCATATCAAATGCTCCAAGGCTTATATGCATTCGAGAATGCGAGCACGTGTACAAGCTTTTCTCAAAGTTCTGAATCGGGCCAAACCCGATCCTGTTGTAGTCGAGAAGAAGACGATCTCGTAAGTCGATGGCGTGCGCGTACTTTGTCATTCGGACTAGTCATCCATCCTAACTGAATATCTTGCTTTCTCATAGGGGAAGGAACGTTGTCAAGTCATAGATTTTAGAAATGTTTATGACGCATTCCTAGACTACAAATGCAACGATCTAATAACTTATTAATAAAAAAATATCACTCACTCGATCGAATGTTTATAGCTAATAAGCCTGTATTAATAGTAAGTAACATTGCAAAAATTTCAGTTGGTAAACCAAGAACGCCTTGCTTCGTTCCTCTATAATGAAGTCACGGGATACAGAATCGTAGATCCTTGCTCTGAAGTAAACAGAATACGCGTTTCTTTGCATAGATTTTTAATATTGAGTAACTCGCATTGCCAATTAGTTGCAGAACCGTACAAACGTGTGATAGCTTTTCATAAGCGACAATAAAAAGATGTTCGGCGTTTCTTTATTGAAAAATCGTTTGAACATTAACAATGTGGAGACTTGGATTTCATCTCCTGCCATTACTAAACCTCAAATATAGCTTGGCGGTGAATAGCCACAGTTAGCTGTAGACGCGTAGTTAATACCAGCGCATAATGACAAGTTATCATAAACCACAGTAGATAATCGTGCTGTAAGGGCACTGATCAATTCGGAATAAGCACGTATCTATTCCGAATCATCACATAAACATGGCATGCATGTTGATCGTTTATTAATATGACAGTAGACAATGAGCCTATTTTGAATAGCAATGCATTCGAAAGGCGTGAAACCCTCCTCCTCCTGTTTCTGAACGTTGATTTCCTTGGTTTATAGCCAATAAAGTTAAATGTGTTCACAATACATCAGTTTGTTCATTGTTAGAATGTCGCTCACTAATATCAATGTCTGTTTACGTTTACAGCCCAAGCCTAAAAAAGCATCTGTTGTGCCACATGGTACAATAGGGCGTGCACACATTTACAGCTTCTTAATATTAACATTCTTACTCAGCAAACCCTCTAAGGAAAAGGATGTCGATTTCTGCAACATACTCCAAAGATGAGATTGTGGATAAAGAATTTCAGTACCCTCCAGAGGCTGAGGGTGACGAAAAGAAAAAGTTGGGAACTCTGAGAAACAATTTACTATCATTGCAGAACGATATCAATACACATCTTACATCGTTGCTTAAGGCTACCGGTGTCGAGGATGTCATGGCTGATGAAGCGGAAGAAGATGATGATGAGGAGGAAGAAGAAGAGGAAGGAGACGAAGAAACAAAATGATATGTCGTTTTCCACGGAGATCTATGTTAGAGATTCTTGATGTCATTCTCAAGGTGTGCACATTGAGTGTGCGTGAGTGGTGTTAGGGATTTGAGTAGAAAAAGGGCTGGGAAGGTTTAGGGTAGTATGCAGGCCTATTCAATGGGAACATATTCTAAAGCTTATGCAATAACTCAACTTAGATCAGAATCAACTTTAATCATCTTGAAACATTAAACCATCGAGCCATTTCCAAAAGTGTCGTTTCTCCTCCTGCTGTCCTGAAAATCGGACGATCTTGAACTGATATATACATTGCCCCCCCCATCGTATAAGAGTAATTGCAATCTTTATTTTATAAATAATATATCTAGGAAGAGAATGTAAAAACTGGTATTTGTCCGATACAGATTTAACAACGTTGTGTGCGCGATTTTAAGATTGTGACTTTCTCTGAATCCGATGTACTTTTAAATGACGGCAAATGTGCTGCTTTAACGAGCAGAATCGGCATCAACACATGTCCGTATCTTGTTGATAAACACGGCCAATATTATGTCGATGTGACATCATTTCTGAATTTCGAAACACGAATCTGTTCTATATACTATGGACAGAGTATTATGGCTAACAAACGTGCGAGAGACGGCCTTATTGTTGTCAGGTAAGCGTATGTTGTCGCGTGTTTTGATGGTGATTGTTGCGTTCAGAGAAAGGGAAAATAGTGCTTGTGCTTAGAAGGTCACATTTAGGGGGTTGATATAGCTCTAATCTCAGAAATCATGCCAATTGTTCTACGTTGAGGCAAAATAACTGCGATAATGAAATATTAACTGGATGAAATACAAACATTGCACTCACAATAATTAGAGCAAAAATTAGATGCCATGTCTTTGTTGCACCCAAGTGCCGTCGGTGAACCACCTTTAGAAATAGATTATTCGATGCGGTTTTTTAGTTCGCGATATTATGGGTCGACTGCTGACCAGCTATGGCCTGATTAGCACCCAGTATATACAGATACCTCGCTGCGATGCCGTGCGTGAGCTTATGATTTGATTCAGTTAATACAGTGCGCCGTTTGAAAATCAAGTATTTTAATTCGCTTACCGGTAACTATTCAAATAAATGTTATACACGAAGACTCGGTTTAGTAAACTTTAAAGGAATATGTATTTGCCGCGACTCTGCCTTTAATAGTCCATTCTAAACATTTAAGATTGTAACTTGATTTTTAAGGCGCCGAATCTCTCTTTGCTTGTCAGTTTTTTTCTCCTCGTACTGCGACAACGAGGCCCGTAATACTGACTTGGTTAACTATATTCCTATGTGCTGTCGTATGGTTGCTAGATGAATAATATAGTATGTGACGCCAAAAGAGTGATTAGCGACTATACTTGTAGCACTCGGAGCTGGTCTAATGTGGTACAAAAGCAAATGCTCAACAATCGTTGTTTTCATATCCGCAAAAATGTCGAGATGCCGGGCAATTGATAATTTGATTCGATCCACTCGCGAGCAATACTATACTCTTAATTGGATTCAGTTTTCAGTATTTAGTGACATAGAGTTGAGTGAAGTCGGAGCCGACAAAATCATCTACTGCACAGGAATATGGAAACAAAAGATGATGCTGTTATTACTCGGAGACGACAAAAAGTGTACAGCAGAATTTATAAGCGAGTTTTCCAGACAGTACTCGCTCTCAACACTCGTACATAGGGACGATATTTCAACTAGCCAGTTCAAACGATATCCAGAATGGCTTGAGGAACGGAATGCGCTAATAGAAGGATTTACAAAGTATAACGGCAATTATTACATGGTTGCTAGCGCACAGTTTCACTATTGTTATTCTCGATATGGATTCTGCTCTGCATGTGGAATACTCAGATGTAGTCCGGTGTGGTGTATTTGTGGCCATAAAGAATTATCTAACGGGTGGACCAGTAATAATAAGAAACTGGACGAGTTTATTAAAAAGTCACAAATACAAACAAAATCAGCAGATGAGCCGTATTTGGAATGGATCCCATTTGATTGTCTTGCGTTTGACGGGGAGGAGGGAGTATTGGTAAATAGTCTACCTACCCCCAATACAACTGTTGAACTGATTCCACTTGAGATAGAAGATGAGACGGACGACTCTTATTATGACGAGGTATATAAATCATTCGATTATATAAATGTGCTTGTTGGTTTTTATTATCGATTTCATCCCCTTAATTTCCATTAGTTGCGTGCTAACCACCCAGATATTTCAATGACAAATTCCTGGATTACTATTGGTTTTACATACGATGCAGACGAAAAAGAATATTGTTTAATAAAAGAAATGCACGAGCTTGGAGTATGTCTGGGATGTACAGAACAATTTGAATATAAAAGACCCGCGTTCTGTTTCTGGTGTAAGACGCCAAGACTTGTGGATTGGACCACCGGCCATAATTCTCTGGATTCATTTCTAATGAAATCATGGGCTAATACAAAGCATAGAGCCGATGCCTATATACAATGGATTGAATATTCGCAATTGGAAAACGTGCGAGAGACGATATTAGTAGAATACGAGTGCACGGCGGATTGGTTCGAACCTGCAACGAATAGACCGGTCATCGTGATGTTAAAGACGATAGTTGATGGACAGAACAGTCAATCGTTTGATTTTTATCAGGTAAAAGCATAAAAATAGTGTCACGTGTTTTACACGATGGTTTTGATTGTTGTAACGAATGGTATCGTTTATTCAAAATCAGCTAACCAAGCATTATCCAGAGATATTAACATCAGATAATATCTGGGTTATTGGAATTACTCAAAAACCATCTACCCGAGATTATTGTTTGGTGCTCCACAGTGAGATACGCAGAGTTTTGGATGGGTTTATGCGGTATTGTGATGACATCACGTTTATGCAATATGACACATTTGATGAAATTGAAGAAATCGGATCTGGTAGTTATAGTACAATTTATACTGCACGTTGCAACAATGACGAAGGTCGAATTAGCTCTGGACAACGTGTTGTTCTTAAACGATTTAAGAATTTTGATCACATGCCAGAATTATTTATTTGCGAAGTAAGTAATCTCATGATATAATCAATCTGATTTCTTAAAGCCTGATTAATTCTCATTTAACAGTTCAGGAATCATGCCAAGTGTAATAAACGTTTTAACTTTCTTGAAGTCTATGGAATTACACAACAGCCAGAGACAAAGGAATACATGATCGTGATGCAGCATGCTGATAAGGGCACTCTCTTGCCTTATTTAAATCGTAACATTAATACAATGACATGGAGGATGAAAATCCAGTGTATGAAAAATATTGCCAATTGCCTGGTTGACATTCATAGCACTGGATTGGTGCATTGTGATCTTCATGATGGAAACATAGTTTTTAAATCGAACGGAGGCAGTTCAAATAAAGCATCAATATGTGGCTTTGGTCGCTCACACTCACGAGTACAAGAGTATCGATCAACTGTTCAAGGTATCACACCCTTTACAGCACCAGAAGTCTTCCAGACTCGCAGGTTTACGCCAAAATCAGACATATATGCGTTTGGTATGATTATGTATTTGGTTGCCAGTGGTGAACCGCCTTTCGGGAACAGATTACTTGACAGCGATTTAGTTCGCGATATTATGGGTGGACTGCGTCCTGCCATGCCTGATTCAGTACCCGAGGCGTACAAGAAACTTGCCGAACGTTGTTGTAATGGCGATCCTAACAAGCGTCTAGCGAGTTGGGAACTTTGGTTTCATTTAAAACGAATAGACAAGGATAAGTCTGATATATGGAATTCCATATATTACACTGATGTAAAGTCTTGAGTAAATAAAAATTTTGATAAAAATTAGGTTGGTTAATGAGGAACTCAAAGTTTTGATCGTCATACAGCAAAACGTAAGCCCATATTAATATTATCTCCCCCCTTTTTTTAACGGCTTACTCGTTACAACCTTTTGAATACAAGTCGTTCCACATATGTATAAAATTCCTTGAGACATTCAATACCTGAAAAGTTGAACTGTAATAATTTTAGTCATGCGCTTGATCTCTTTTTGTTTGGACGTTTATCTCATAAAGAAATTATACTCAATTCCGTTTTGTCGCTTTCCCATTGAACAATACTTTAGTGGCAATAAGTATTGTTACAAAGTCATTCAGCCAATAAATTAAAAACTTATTACATTTGACATTATTTCAGTTAAGAACGAACATCTCCGTGGACGATTATCCATAAAAAATTATTCGCGCAATTTACATTATGTATGCTGAAACTCGTTTTTCTAGAGTTAGAATGAGAATAT